CCCTACCTTGGATGATCCACTCAGCATCAGAAAGGAAACAACAAAAGCTTATATGAAATCCAAACACACACTGGGTTTCATATTGCTACCTATTATTATCAAGGTTCCTATGCTAGTCACTGACACAACTTACAAACCTGACTACAGATGTAAAACAACTAATCGCTCTCTAGCCTGGTAAAGTGTTGGCAAGATCTTGAACAGCCCAATCTGGGGGAGTAGGGAGAAAAGAACATGAATCTGAATTGTTAAGATCAGAGGGACAGGCACAGGGCTGAGACTTCTTAAAAGATGACAAAAGGAAGAGCTGTACAAGGGGAAGGGACTCCAGAATGGCACAAGAGTCCAGAGGCCATTATGGGGAGGTGGCAAAGGACACTACTGCACTGAGTCCAAACAAACTCTTATGATCTATTTATGATCTCACCCTCCCCCATCTGTTCCTTTTGAGATCAGCAATGCCTATAAAGCACTAGGGGAACAATTTAAACCACGTCTCATTCTCAGCACCACACCTCTGATCATTCTGAACATGCAAAGTCCCCTCCCCAGGTCATACCAAGCACAGACTGATCATTTCACTTCATAGCTGGCACCAGCACCCTTGTCAGCCTAACCTGTTCCATTATTCCTGTTCCAGAGGAACAGGAAAGCCCTTATACAGGGTGAGGTGAAACTTGCAGTACAACACTAGGAAGCAGCAGCTGTGCCAGGAATGAAACTCACATTAAATATGAGACAGAACAGCAGGATTTCACCTTTTTCCTTCTTAATAAACAAGAGGCTCCTTAAAGCCCAGTCACATCATTTAATTTCTTTAACTTCAAAGCCAGCTGGCTCAGGGCATGCCCAGCTGTCTGGAGCAAATCCCACAGTGAAGGATTGAAATTCATGTTCCAAGAAACTAGAGCTAGCTCTGGACCCTCCCTGGCACTGGAGTGCAGTTGCTGCCTGAGCTACAGAGCAGCATAAACATGTTACCACCTTTGCCCAAGGCATCCCCAGAACCACATCCAAAGGGCCCCTCTGCCACCACCCTGACTCCAAGACTCTTAGCCATTCAACTACATACAAAAATTACACAGACACATGGGAATAGAGTTCCAGGTCTCCTGAGGTGCAATCTCTGGGTTATTTTCATGAGTTGGAGGGCAGGGAAGAGGGAATTTTTACACTAAAGAGCAACGTAATGAACCAGGCAACTCAGCAAGGAGGAATTAAAGGTTTAGCAATCAAGCTACAAGAGGCTGTACACCAAGCTAGTTGGCCCCACCTTGGGTGCACTGAGCCATCCACTGAGCACACCTACCACTCCTTCTGAATACTCTGGAGCAGATTACTGTTATTAGGGGATGGCTCATCCACTTGGAGTGGCTCATTTAAAAAAGAAGCAGGTTGGGGGAAGGGTGCTCTGAAATGTCTCTCTCCATGAATCACATTCCCTAATCACCATCACTAATTTAGCACGTCTCATCTGGAGATATCAAAATGCATTAAGAAAGTTAGTGCGGATCAGCCTTCTCCTTTCACACATGGGAAACAAGAGAGAACAGACCTGCCCAAGTCGCACACAGAGCCTGGGTCAAAGTTGGACTAAACCCCAGTGTTCCCAATGCTCTGCTCATTTACTGAGGCGCATGGCTTCCTCTCAACAGAAGGGAAA